GTGCCGTGGCGCGGCGAGGCGTGCCGATAGTAGATGCTGCGTGGTGCACAGGAATTAGGCCTCCTAGCCATTATGCTGTTCACGTGCCGCTATACCAGCGGCCTGGCGCGGTCTGGCGCGAGGGGCTGAAGGGGCGTGGGTGATGCTCTGAGGAGGGGCTGGGGTTGGGATGCCGAGGGAGTGGGGGGTTTAAGACCGAGTTGTACAGTAAACAGCTGGCCCTGGGGCCTAAGTGCGTGCGGCCCCACTCGCTAGAAATGGGCTCGCATTTCAGAGACAAGATGTATGTTGCGCGACGTCCAGGCCGTGCGCGGACCAGGGTGATCCCAGTTCCGGGGGGTGACGACTGTTTGCAGGGCCGATGGGTGGGGGCGGGGATTCTCTGGCCCGAGGCGAGGATGGTGGGGTGGGGCCAGGATTATCCCGGGTGGAGCGCAGCCAACGGCCCTCTGCACTGCCCGGTGGAAAACCTTTTAGAACACTCACCCGATCGTTACTCGACACTTCTGCTTCAAAATAGGGTCTCGATCTTCACCGCGTTTTTCAACGTTATCTATACTTACTGACAAATTAGTATGGAAGCTGCTAACAAATTTGAAGCTTTGTAACACAAATAAGTATTTTCTTTTCTAGCTTATTCCAAACTGGTTAAGAAAACTTTTTTATGGCTAGAAAAAATAATTGTAAATAATTTAAAGCATCGCTTTCCATAGCGCCTGACGGTAATCGGGTAGGCCACCCGCCCCGATGCAGCGTGTAGCAGCACTGCCTACCCGGCACTTCGCAGGGGCTTCATGTACTCCTTGCACGGTGAGCTTCAAATAATGCATTTGGACGGATTCCAAATTAGCAGCTGCACCGAAATCCTGTCTATAAAAAAAATAACCGTTACCTTGACCTTTACGGTGAGCTAAGAATAAATCCTTTATTTTCTCTTACTCTGCCATGGCGCCTGACGGAGAGCGGGTAGGCAACCCGCCGAGCTGCAGAGCGTAGCGGCCCTGCCTACCCCGGACCTCGCAGGGGCTTCACTGCAGAAGAACACAGTTATATCAGACTCGAGCTATCCGCTGAACCGCGCCTGCATCATAGGCCACGCTAATTTTTCGAGGTATCCGGGTAACAGAAAGATAGGTAGTGGTTGCACTGTCATCTTTATACTTCGCATCTTGCCCTTTTTTCTCTGACATCCAGAGCTTAGAATTTAGGGTTTGTTGTGTCACGGCTTTGTTCTGCCCCACTCGCAAGGCCGGTCCTCCGGTAGGGCTAGGCCACGCCGCGCCACGCCAACAACGGCGAAATAATTTATTTTTCACGTGATTAGGGTCTCTGCCCCCCACCCCCGGGCTACACGAGTGAGGCCGTGCTTTCGCCCGCTCTGCTCCTCCTATTCTGCATTCATGGAATCGTTTTGCACCCCGGAGCATTGCGACGGTGCCGGGTGGAGAGGGACCGGCTCTGCGAGCACTAAGTGCGAATAGCAGCGGAAGTGACCCCCCGCCAGGCGCGCCAGGAGCCCACTCCCCGGCACCTTACTCG